AGACCCTGATGCTGGGGAAGATTGGAGGCAGGAGGAGAAGGGGACGACAGAGGATGAGATGGTTGGATTTCATCACCAACCCAATGGACATGAGTTTGAGCAAGCTCCGAGAGATGGTGAAGGACAGGAAAGCCTAGTGTGCTGCAGTCCGTGGGGTTCCAAAAAGTAGAACAGGGCTGAACGGCTGAACTACAACAATTGGAGTATAATTGCTTTACAATGTTGTGTTACTTTCTGCTCTACAACAGCGTGAACCAACCACGTGTATACTATGTGTTCTCCCTCGTGGACCACCCTCCTGCCCCCGCACCCCACCCATCAGAGGACCGAGCTGAGCTCCCCGTGCCACACAACAGCCTCCTGCTAGCTCTCTATTCCACATAGAGTGTGTGTGTGTGTATATCCCACCTTACCGAGTCCACGTGTCCATTTTCTGCATCAGAGTCTCTACTCCTGCCCTGCAGATTGGTTCATCTGTGCCATTTTTCTGGATTCCACAAATATGCATTACTATACGATACTTGTTTTTTCTCTTTCTGACTTACTTCACTCTGTATGGAAGATTCTTGTTCCATCCACATCTCCACAAATAACACAATTCCACTCCTTGTTTATGGCTGAGTAATATTCCTGGGGTTTCTGACATTTCTTTTCACTGCTTTGGAGACTTTATTTCCAGCAGTGTCACTTTATGAATAAACATTCTGAAATTTACTTCTGAAATTATAATTATATGTCCTAGAGTTCTATTAAACCAATGAATTACAGATATTTTAGAATTATGGAAAGCATTAATTTTTAAAAATGGATTATCCTGTAAATACTTCTTTTTTTAATATAGCCAGTTGATTTTTTATGTATCATGGTTTTTAATTCCTCAGAGAACTCATTACTACACATTTTTTCCTATTTTTATTTATTTTTTAAATTAATTACTTTATTTTAATTGGAGGCTAATTACTTTACAATATTGTAGTAGTTTTTGACATACATTGACATGACATTTTGATACATTGACATGAATCAGTCATGGGTGTAGCTACTTCTTGCCTCCATTCTTTGAACGTAATATTCACATGCCATTTTTCTATGCTGTGACTTCATTTTGCTATGAAGACACTCCTGTATTTAATAAGTATTGACAGCCTACACCCCATATTGTTTTCTTATTAAATAGATAGGTTGAAAGGTATCTATCTTATCTTTCTTTCTTGATCTGAGGTTTAGAAAGTAAGTTCCTGTCCATTTCTTTCTTCTCCCTATTATAACTGATAAGATTACTTCACTCTGTATGGAAGATTCTTGTTCCATCCACATCTCTACAAATAACACAATTCCACTCCTTGTTTATGGCTGAGTAATATTCCTGGGGTTTCTGACATTTCTTTTCACTGCTTTGGAGACTTTATTTCCAGCAGTGTCACTTTATGAATAAATATTCTGAAATTTACTTCTGAAATTATAATTATATGTCCTAGAGTTCTATTAAACCAATGAATTACAGATATTTTAGAATTATGGAATGCATTAATTTTTAAAAATGGATTATCCTGTAAATACTTCTTTTTTAAATATAGCCAATTGATTTTTCATGTATCATGGTTTTTAATTCCTCAGAGAACTCATTACTACACATTTTTTCCTATTTTTATTTATTTTTTAAATTAATTACTTTAATTGGAGGCTAATTACTTTACAATATTGTAGTAGTTTTTGACATACAATGACATGACATTTTGATACATTGACATGAATCAGTCGTGGGTGTAGCTACTTCTTGCCTCCATTCTTTGAACGTAATATTCACATGCCATTTTTCTATGCTGTGACTTCATTTTGCTATGAAGAAGACACTCCTGTATTTAATAAGTATTGACAGCCTACACCCCATATTGTTTTCTTATTAAATAGATAGGTTGAAAGGTATCTATCTTATCTTTCTTTCTTGATCTGAGGTTTAGAAAGTAAGTTCCTGTCTATTTCTTTCTTCTCCCTATTATAACTGATAATAAAGGTGGAGACCTTAACCTTGTTACTTATGTTTCACTTAAGTGTTCTGTTTTTTTTTTTCCCCTTCAGTAAAGGCCTGGTGCAAGGCAACCAATTCAGGTGCATGTGAAGTTCTGTTATCCCCTATGTTAACTCATTCACTGCTCATAGCAGCACCCCCCCACCTTGTTTTACAAATAAGGAAACTGAGGCACAGAGTGCTAATTGCTCAGTCATGCAGGACTCCTTGCCACTGCATGAACTGTAGCCTGCCAGGCTCCTCTGTCCACGGGATTTCCCTGGCTACTGGAGTGGGTTGCCATTTCCTTCTCCAGACTAAAATGACCCAGCTGGAATTAAACCCAGGGAGTCTGGCTCCGAAGTTCATTTACCTTAGAAAAATGATCTCCACTTCAGATAAGAAGCACCCAGCCAACAGTGGGTGCCTAGATTCATCTGAGAAGACTCACAACTAGGTTTCTGTATGTAAGAAGCCAAAGAATTGTCTTGAAAAATTACTGGCAAGCTAGTCTCACCTAACAGCTTACTCCTGGGAGAGTCGCTATGCTAACAGGATGTTGGGAAGTAATAAACTCTAGTCTTTGTTGAGAAACATAGCCTTAGGATGGGAAGGGAGAAGAAAGATTACTCTATGAGACTTGGGCAATGTCTGGGAAGATTGTAACCCCACAATATTCAGCCAATGAGGAACAGGGGAGGGATCTGCGCTCCAGAGGATAAACGTGCTTGCTGTAACGTCCCAGGTGTGCCTGCCCACCAGACACCACATCTTTTGAGACTGTCATTAAAAGTCTTGCTTTCACTATATAAAAACAAACAAAAAGAAACCAAAGAAGAGGAAATTTAGTTACTTTTTCTTTTAAAGATGTCAATTTATTGCATGTTAATATTTCAGTGCAGTTGTGGAATAAAGATTTGTGACACTTGGGGCAAGATTTAGAGAAATACAAACACTCTTGGTACAGCTTGGCACTTTCCCCACCTCATGACAACCACGCACAAACCAAGTGTAATTCAGCTTGATCTAAACAGGTTTTGGGCTGTCAATACTTAATAAATATGAGAATGTCTTCTTACAGCAGGAAAATTTTACAGGACAGAGAGTGTTAGTCACTCAATCATGTCTGACTCTTTGCGACTTCGTGGACTGTAGCCCACCAGGCTCCTCTGTCCATGGAATTATTCAGGCAAGAATACTGGAATGGGTAAACATTCCCTTCTCCAGGGGATCTTCCCAACCCAGGGATTGAAACTGGATACCTTGCACTGCAGGCAGATTCTTTACCATCTGAGCTATTAGGGAAGCCTGTACAGGATAAAGGGCTCTGTTTTTTCAAGAACAGAGGCAAGGCTTAGCTACAGAGGAATCAGAGTGTAAAGAGAAAACAGAAACAAAATCCATACTACCTACATTTCTAAAATAGTACTAGCTCAATGGTTTGCAATCACCAGGTAGAACCCATCCTGAGATCTTTGTCTCTTAGCATCANTTTCTTAGCTGAATTCCTTATATCTCCTCTGAGTTGATAATGAAATGAAACTATGGCTGATTTAATGAATAAATTCTGCAGACATCCTACTACTTAATAATTTCATTTTATGAAATCACCTAGTATAATAAGTGGCTTACATTAAGTTATTATGGGCTTAAGATCATAATAATCTATGAATAACTTCCCCAAAAGACTGATAGGAAGAGCACATTGTCAGCTTGCCCATGACCTCATGACCAATAAGTAACCAAAGTAGAATCCAAAATTGGCTCCTCTGGTGCCATTTTGACCATTTTATGATGCTGATACCGTGTGAGGCCATCTAGGAAGCTGCCAAGAAGAATGGTCCTAAGTCAAGAAGGAAAAATCAGAGTGTATTAGGGAAATTAAATGAAAACAGAGCATTGCAGATTGAGTGTGGCTGTGTCCATGGCTGGCTGAGCTGAAGGTTGTAACCTTATCTTCAGTAGCAGCACATCTCCTCAACTCAGAAAACTGNTTTGACCATGTTATGATGCTGATACCGTGTGAGGCCATCTAGGAAGCTGCCAAGAAGAATGGTCCTAAGTCAAGAAGGAAAAATCAGAGTGTATTAGGGAAATTAAATGAAAACAGAGCATTGCAGATTGAGTGTGGCTGTGTCCATGGCTGGCTGAGCTGAAGGTTGTAACCTTATCTTCAGTAGCAGCACATCTCCTCAACTCAGAAAACTGACCATGGACCAGTTCATAATATAAGATCATGGGCAGGGAATGTGCGAAATTAAGGGGGTACAGAGTAAACTCAATGGACATGAATCTGAGCAAACTCCAGAAGATAGTGAAGGACAGGGAAGCCTGGCATGCTATAGTCCATGGGGTCACAAAGAGTCAGACACAACTTACTGACTGACAATAACAAGAACTGAGTAACTGTGCAATTATCCTAACATAAACATTTTAAATTAACATTTGCTATTGGCTGGATGTTGGATATTTAAGAAGTGTCTAATAATAAAGCAAATCTATTTCTTCAATATACTTAAAGTATGTTTACTAAAAAGGCATGGAATGGATTGAAGGGAAAATAGTAATTGTAAAGTTAGTATTAGCAAGGCAGGAAAGAAATCTCTTGAACACATCATTTTTAAAAGCTTCCAAGGGAAAGCCAATCCCAAAGCCCTCTTTCAAGGCATTTACACTGAAAAACGCAGAACCTGAAGTATTTCCTTAAAAAAATGATTATTGAATTTAAAACATTTTATCAAAATAATTAGATTAAGCATATTTTCTGCAGTATTAATATAAATTAATCCATGCTTATCATTTAGAACAATAAGAAAATTCAAATAATAAAAGAGCCCTGTTTCAAATCTTCTGCTCGTTCATAAATTTGTATGCTGTAGCAGTGATTTGTATTGCTCTTTCAGTGTCATGCAAGAGGGTTAAAGAAAAGAGAATGTAGAGTAATAGCAGCTCATTATCATCTTTCCTCTATTAATTTTCTCTTTTCTTTCAGTTCCACCTTTTATCCAGCCTTTTGAGTTTCCGAGGTTCTCCATTGGACAGCGGGTATTCATCCCATGCGTTGTGGTCTCAGGGGACTTGCCCATCACCATCACCTGGCAGAAAGATGGCCGGCCAATCCCAGCAAGCCTCGGGGTGACCATTGACAACATTGACTTCACAAGCTCTCTAAGGATTTCCAATCTTTCCCTGATGCACAATGGGAATTATACCTGCATAGCCCGCAACGAGGCAGCAGCAGTGGAGCACCGAAGCCAGCTAATCGTGAGAGGTAAGGAGGCGCCGAGGACGCGTGGCATCTCTGCAGTCAAATCCAGTGATGCTCGTCAGTGGTATTTCCTTGAAATGTTAAAAGTAACTAGAACTCCCACTCAAACACACACACACACACAAAGCTGTAGCAACCGACTATGAACTCCCCTCAATTCCAAACCAAGGCTTAATGGATATTCATCTAAAACATGAAGTTTCAAAAATTAGCCAGGAAGAAATGTGTGAATGAAGATGTGGGGTCCATGGGATATATTTCTTGAAACAGGGCTTCCCTACATTAACCCAGTGATATTTGAGGCCAAAAGCTCATGAGCACATGCTGTGTTGAATTTACTTTATGGAACATTTTGTATTGTCATTTAGACTGATGATTTTAAAAATAATATTTGTCAAAGCCATATATCACAGTTTTTCTAAAGTCAAAACATATAAGGTAGCTTTTATATGTTTTGGTTTTCTAGTTTCTAAAATGTAGTTTTCTTTTCTTCCTCATTTCTGTTGAGCATTCAATCTCTCATTATTTGGGGAGGGTATTGAAACATCTATTAAATTAATTGAAGTATGGCAAAAATTTAGGAAAAATTTGAAAGAAGGTACTTTAATTTGCATAAAATTTTTCTAGGGCTTTCAATGAACCAAAAATGTAAGCTAAAGTCTCATTTCACATCTCTGCCCAGATCTCCGAGTTCTCATTAATGCTCACATGCATTACCTGCAAAATGAGAAGTTAGTGTTCTCTAGTGTCTGTGGAGCACAGATGTTCTGTGATTTCTTGATTCTTCTAGAGGTATATGTGTTCATCTACCCATATAATACTCACCCACATTGCAGAAGTAATTGTATGAAATTAAAGATTTATATTAATGTTGACTATTTGCATTTTGGGGCTTCACAGGTGACACTAGTGGTAAAGAAAGTGAGTGAAAGTCTCTTAGTCATGTCTGACTCTTTGTGACCCCATGGACCGTAGCCCACCAGGTTCCTCTGTCCATGGGATTCTCCAGGCAGAAATACTGAAGTGGATTACCATTCCCTTCTTCAGGGGATCTTTCTGACACAGGAATTGAACTGAGGTCTGCACTTTGGGCAGGTTTTTTACCGTCTAAGTCAAGAACCTGCCTGCCAATGCAGGATTTTAAAGTTCTCTAACACAGGGCTCTCATCACAGTTATCAAGAGGGATGGATTCCATTACCTTCAGGACAGTCAGTAGATCTGAGCAGACTCTTTCTTGAGGTATAGATTCCTAAGTCCTTTCTCAGACCTTGCACCTGGTTTCCATGACACTTCTCCTTCCTTTCTGCTGAAAAGTAATGCCCATTCTGGCTAGTTGGCAACAGAATAAAGTGAAGCATACTTAGAATTCATATGAGGAAATCAACTTTGTATGTGTGAAAAAGAGTTTCCCTGAGTAAATCAGAACATCTACCTTCACTTAGATACAAACCAAAGATACAAATGGCCTTATACTAATAAAATTGGGAGCAATGATTTTTTCCCCCAGTTTTGAGGATGCATTAACATGGGAGCTCCTCCTGTACTGATTCCCAAATGCTTTCTTATGAGAAGAGCTGACTCTCACTATCATTTGAAAGGTCAAAACAGGGAGCACATCAGCCTGACTCCGAAATAATCTGCTCTGAAGGATCCAGGTCAGAGAAGAAAAATGCTAGATGAAAATGTACACGAGTGTTCTGTGAATCACTTGGCTTTGCAGGAAAGGCAAGTGAACTTTTTGACCAAGGCAAAAGTCAAGTGACCTGGAATTGAGCTCAGCCAATCAGAATAATGCAGTTGATCACAATCTGATTAATGTCTCTCTGTGGCTGTTTTTAAAAATATGTTAAATAAGCTTCTGTGAAATTAACATTGAATCACTAGTTGGATAATATAGCCCTGAGAAAGAAGATGTGCTTCACAGTAGGTCAGTAGCTGGAGAAATAGTCAAAGACGAAATGATGTGGGGCATTGGTTTTCAATCTGGACTTTGCCATGATATCTCCTGTGAGATTTAAGAAAACACTAATGACTATTTTCTAGTCCTAACTAAACACAAGTAAATCACCATCTCTGGGAGCAGATCCATCTCCCAAATCTCTGGGGCATTATTCTTTCTTTTTTTTAATTCAAAAATCATCTATTAATGATTCTTGAATTTTGTCACATGTTTAAATTACCTGGGGAGCTTTAAAAAAATGCCTGATGTCCAGGCTGAAGTCCAAATAAATAAACATCACTGGCAGGGTGGTGGTGGGAGTGGGTACCCAAGCACCAGGAATTTGTAAAATTTCCAAGCTGATTCTAAAATGCAGGGAAGTTTTAAGTCCATGTACCCTAGGTAATTTGAATATACAACTACTTTAGAAGTCTATTTTATTCTGTAAATCCAAAGAAAGGCCATTGGTGACTTTAACTAAGCCACAGCATGACCTGATTTATGTTTTTGATCCTCATACTAGCAGCTGTGTAAAGAATGGACTAGTCCAGAAAGCAAATATAGCAGGTAAGAAGCCATTTCAGAAGTTGAGGCAAGATAGAAAGTGACTTGAGTGAAAGTACTGGGTCAAGGTAATGAGAAGCAGTTTTAATTTGCGGTATGTTTTGGAGGCAGAGCAAACAAAACATGTGTATAAAGTGACTATGGCAAGTGAGAGAGAAGATTCCTTAATTAGAGTATATATTTTGCCTAGTCAGGTAGATGAAAGTGTCTGCAGCAAAAGTTGAAAAGGTGTAAGGACTAGCAGCTGTCACAGGGAAATAACGATATGAGAGCAACAAAAGTGTCTAGACCCAAGGCATTCCAAAAGTTAAGATTTCAGAATAAGAGGAGAAATCCACAAAGGAGACAGGAAGAAGAAGCAGTCACTGAAACAGGAGGAAGTCCAGTGGATTGTGGGGCCCTGAAAGCAAAATAGCAAATAATCAGGAAAGATATGTAATAAAGTATATCATGTCCCACTGAAAGTAGAAAAAGAGGAAAGCCAAGAATTGGTCATTGGGTTTTGGGGAAGATGAATACTAGTTTGGCCTTGCACAACGGGGTGGCTACAGTGAATGACTGATTAGTGGGGCTTGGAAAAAGAAAGGGAGGTAACTGGATGTGTGGGAACTCAAGAAAATACAAACATTTTTATATTTTCAAGAATGTTGCTGTGGCAGGAGGCAGAAAAAAATGGAAAGGAAGTTAGATATGGACCTGGGACAAGGGAAGCTTACATACTAATGGCAATGAGCAAGTAGAGAGGGAAAAAACTGTATGTGGCAGGGCAAAGAGCTTATTAGAGGATCCAGGTCCTTGACTTAGTTAATTGGGTTCTTTTACCAATGGAATATGTCCAAACTAATATAATAATAATCCTAGTAGGGCCCCATAAGGTAGAACCAACAGAAATGGTTAGAAATTTCAGACAGCCAGGTTTGGGGTCAAGTAACTTAAAAGATAAATTTAAAAAATCATCAGAGAGTAACACACAATGGATTTATCCTCCTACTGTGAACAATTATGAAAAGTGAAAGTGTTACTCACTCAGTCATGTCCAACTCTTTGCAACCCCATGAACAGTAGACTTGCAGGCGCCTCTGTCCCTGGATTTCCCAGGCAGGAATACCAGAGTGGTTAGCCATTCCCTTCTCCAGGGTATCTTCTCAACGTAGGGATCAAACCCAGGTCTCCTGCATTGCAGGCAGATTCTTTACCATCTGAGTCACCAGGAAAGCCTATCAAAATTATAAAACTAGACAATAATTTGTAAAATAATCATTTTTCAGGCAGTGAAACACAGTAGAGGACTGTGGTCCTTGAGATAAATACGACCTATTCCCCAAATGCACCCCAGATTTTTGCTTGGTGCTTTCCAAACCATGATAGCGGGATGTAGAACCTAAATAGATGATAGTGACTTTTCAGATGATGATAAACAAAAGATTGACATTTAGAATTATTGAGGTGCTAGATATTTCAGGGCAGAGTACTAGGGAGCGGGGACCTGTTCAAAGAAAGATTTCCAAATATATGTATAGGGTTCCCTTTGCGTCTTTAGCTAGTCTTCACATACATAGGGTGAGACTTCATGAGATCTAGTAGAGAACAACTACCAGAAAAATGTGACACAGTTAAAGATTCCAAGAGTTATACAGTGCTGAGAAGTGTTGGCTTTCTGACTAATCAGAGTAGAGAATACACAGGGAATTCAGTTGAAATCTCAGAGAAGTCACAACTAAAAGAGACCTGATCTAGTCCTGGAATAAGGGTTCTTCTAAACCAGCCCTAGCAACAAGTCTATGAGTTGTCTTGACAGAATAAACTTCTTCACCAGTAAATTAACTGTCTGCAATCATAACATTCAACACTCTTAAAAGGAAGACAATAAAATCCAGACTATCAATACATAGCATATCCACAAAGCCTTACACGTATTTCCTGGGTATGGAAAAAAAAGGATGTAGAACCTAAATAGATGATAGTGACTTTTCAGATGATGATAAACAAAAGATTGACATTTAGAATTATTGAGGTGCTAGATATTTCAGGGCAGAGTACTAGGGAGCGGGGACCTGTTCAAAGAAAGATTTCCAAATATATGTATAGGGTTCCCTTTGCGTCTTTAGCTAGTCTTCACATACATAGGGTGAGACTATATGAGATCTAGTAGAGAACAACTACCAGAAAAATGTGACACAGTTAAAGATTCCAAGAGTTATACAGTGCTGAGAAGTGTTGGCTTTCTGACTAATCAGAGTAGAGAATACACAGGGAATTCAGTTGAAATCTCAGAGAAGTCACAACTAAAAGAGACCTGATCTAGTCCTGGAATAAGGGTTCTTCTAAACCAGCCCTAGCAACAAGTCTATGAGTTGTCTTGACAGAATAAACTTCTTCACCAGTAAATTAACTGTCTGCAATCATAACATTCAACACTCTTAAAAGGAAGACAATAAAATCCAGACTATCAATACATAGCATATCCACAAAGCCTTACACGTATTTCCTGGGTATGGA